CACGCTTCCGGCCTCTCCACAGCAAAATGGGATTGCTGAGTGCCGCATTGGCATGGTCATGGACGTCGCTCGTACGTCCATGATCCATGCGGCTGCTCCCTGTTAGAATGAGAAGAGTGGTTGCACTATCAAGAAAGTTGGGTACAAGTAACAAAAAACTATACCCTACATTAGCTACCCCACTAAAGCCTACATTTTACTATGACATAGGCATATACTTTGACACACCCCCATAGGCAAAGTGGGGGAGAGCTAAGGGGTCACAAGACCAGTCAAGCAAGGCAAAGCAAGCTCAGGGTGGATCACAAAGTCACCACACACACTGAGCACAAGCAAAGGGCCACAAGGCCAGTTCACATGCAGAGGCATATATGCAACACAAACAGTACAGTGATCTCTACCTAGCAATGCAAACATGCAGGTATATATATACATATATATATCACAGTACAAGCAAAGCCTACAGCAAGTGTGGAAACGTGGGCACAAGCCCTAGCAAAGTGCAGAAACGCTGATGATCACCAGCCGGAAGTGCCTTGGTGAATATATCAGCAGTGTTGGCCCGAGTGGCCACGTAACGCAGACGAAGCTGACCACGCTGCTGCAACTCTCGAGCTAGGAAGTAACGCAGAGCGATGTGCTTCGTTCTGTGCTCCAGTCTGTGCTCCTCACACAAGGCAATGGTAGCCTTGTTGTCGACGTACAGCACTGGAGGGGAACGAGGCCGCTCTCCCAAGTCGGTCAGCAGGTAGGTGAGCCAGTGTAACTCCTGTGCAGCCATGGCTGTGGCGTAGATCTCAGCCTCACAACTGGAGCTGAGAACTGAAGACGAGCGTGTAGAACGCCAAGAAACTGAACCAGAGCCAAGGCTGAAGGTGTAACCCTGTGACGACCGCTGAGTAGCCTGGTCGTCAACCCAAGAAGCGTCTGAGTGCCCAGTGATGACAACTGGGCTCTTCCCTCCAAGCACTAGCCCCATGCCTGATGTACTGCACAAGTAGCGTAGTACCCTCTTAGCAGCATCCATGTGCACCTTTCGGTGCCGACCAGGAGCCACGTAGCGAGCCAAAAGGCCAAGAGGGTACGCGAGGTCAGGACGAGTGCATGTCATCAGGTACATGAGGCAGCCAACTAGCTCTGGGTAAGGACCACTCGGCTCTACGGACTCGTCCGAAGGTGGAGCTGAGAGCGAGTGACCTGTAGCCAGAGGAGTGGCCTGTGCCGAGGACCAGGTGAAGCCGAAGCGCTGAAGGACCTGCTGCACCATGTGTGACTGAGTCAGTGTGATGGTGCGGCGTGCTCTGTCCCCGGTGATCTGCAAGCCAAGGTAGCTGCGCAGTTCACCCAGGTCTGTGCACGTGTGTCTCTTCTGCAGCTCCGACTTCACGTGGGCGAGAGCCTCAGTGTCAGCAGTGGCAAAGACCAAGTCGTCGACGTACACGAGGATGTAGAACGGCGGCAGCGAGGTGTCGGTGCGCAGAAACAGCGACGGGTCAGCTGTAGAAGGCGCGAACCCAAGGGCTGCAAGTGTAGTTCTCAGTGTGTCGTGCCACTCACGTGGCGCCTGGCGGAGACCGTAGACCGGCCGCCGGAGGCTCCACTGGGTACCAGGAGGGAACGACCCAGTAAAGCCAGGAGGGCGGCGCAGCCAGATCTCCTCGTGCAGGCTGCCCTGCAAGAAAGCTGTGCTGAAGTCAAGAGAGTGAAGCTCGTAGTCACGCTGAGCGGCAACGTGCAGCAGCACCCGAAGAGTGGTCATCTTCGGGGTGGGGGAGAAGGTCTAGAAGAAGTCTACTCCCTCTCGCTGACTGAAGCCTCGAGCAACGTACCGAGCCTTGAAGACAGGCGGAGAACCTGGCGGCCGCTTCACCCTGAAAATCCACATGCCACTGACGATGTTCGCCCCAGGAGGGGGAACCTCGTCGACGTAAGTGCCAGTGGACTTCCAGGATGCCATCTCTGCGTCCATGGCTGACTGCCACTGAGAGGAGTACTCACCCGCGATCGCCTCAGCGTAAGAGCGCGGGGTCGGGATGTCTGGAGCATCCGGGTCTCCCTCAGGGGCAAGCAGCATGGCCATAAGATGAGGTACAGCAGCAGCAAAGCACTGGAACTCCTCCTGCCTGTCCTCAAGGACGTCCGTGCCAAGCGCACACTCACCCCCGACGGACGGAGGACAGACAGACTCAGACTCAGCAACAAGACTGGCCGCGTAGTCTAGACGACAGTCAGCAGCAAAGTCGACAAGCTCAGCAACTAAGGCAGACGCAGCAGCTGACTCAAAGGAAGGGTCAGTGACAGCAGTGGCCAGGAGACGCGTGACAGTAGGACTAGCAGCACGAAGAGAGTCAGACTCCGGGTCAGCAAGAGCAGGAAGAGAGGACGCAGGAGGAGAAGGCAGAGGGACACGCTGCGGAGCAGTGGAAGGACGAAGCGTCATGTGGTGAGTGCCTGGGACAGCAGGAGGATGCTGACGCGGGACACGACGACCAGTGCGAGCAGCACGAACACGAGACGCAGAACGAGACGCAGGCGACACAGGACGAGACTCAGGCTCACGACGCTCCGTAAGACCTCCTGTCGGACCAGGGAGAGGCGAGGCAGGCGGTAACTGTGACTGCGACTGGACAGGCGGAGGACACTCTAAGGAGGGAGCAGGACAAGAGGGAGGCGGCTGACCAAGAACCTGCTGAAGGAGGAGGGGAACGAAGTACGGCCGCGGCCGAGCCGTGGCCCGAGAACCAGCAGAGACAGCACCAGAACCTCCAGCAGCAGCTCCAACTCCTGCAGCACCACCAGCAGCTCCAGTAGCGCCAACACCGGTCTCCCCAGCAGCACCAGCTCCAGACGCACCGTCGGCTCCAGTACCAGGAGGAGGACGAGCGTCAGCACCTCCAGCTCCAGCCCCTGCAGCAGCTCCAGTAGCACCCCCAGTCCCAGCAGCTCCAGTACCGCCAGTACGAGCACCTCCAGGACCAGTGGCTCCAGCACCTCCAGCGCCAACAACAGGGTCAGCAGCGACACCAGCTCCAGGAGGCCCAGCGGCCTCAGCTCCAGTAGCACCTCCAGTGCCCACAGCACCACGGCGGCGGCGACAGTACCGAGAGTACCACTCACGCAGCTGCGGGGGAGAGAGAGCGCCCCCAGGCGCAGCACCCCCAGGCTCAGGACCTCCAGGCTCAGTACCCCCAGGCGCAACACCAGTAGTCTCCTCACCCCCAGGCTCAGCACCCCCAGTCTCCGCACCCCCAGGCTCAGCACCCCCAGGCTCAGCACCACCAGGCTCAGCACCCCCAGACCCAGCACCACCAGACCCAGCACGCTCAGCACCTCGCGCAGGACCAGAGTCGACAGCTACCTCGACAGGCTCGACCGGGTCTACCTGGGAAACACCTGAGGGAGCAGGACCCTGGGGAGGCAGGGGGTCTACCAAGGCAGCACCTGCCGTGAGGAAGAGCGGCGGGGGGGGGAGTGGGGCAGTGCGGTAGGGGAAGAGACGGTAGAAGGGGACCGACTCGTCAAACGTGACGTCCTGAGAGGCGAAGACACGGCGCGAGGTGGGGTGGTAAAACTGCCAACCAGGCGCGTCAGGGACAAAGCCAAGGAAGACACAGGGAACAGCGCGGGCGGAGAGCTTGTGCGCGGACGTATCGCGGACAAAAGCACGAGATCCCCAGACCCGGAACACAGACGCATCGCCAACCTCTCCCGTCCAACGCAGCGTCGGTGAGGTCTCCGGAACGGAGACACGGGGCCAGAGGTTGAGCTGATGCGCGGCGTAGCGGACCGCAAACGGCCACAGAAAATGGGGGGCCGCCGCATGGACCAAGGAGGTACGAGCGACCTCCATGACCAAGCCAATGCGGCGCTTGTCAAAATACAATCTTAGCTTAGGAACGGGTTTAAGGAGGGCCTAGGCTTAGTAGCCTAGGCCAAGCAAGGGTGGAGGTCAAGGCCAAGGGAGTGTCGAGAGAAATTGACCAAACAAGTTAGCTTCACTAAAAACAAAGCATACAAGATATAGTCGAGAGACACAAACAAGAGGTGCACCACCAACAGCAAGGACACATAACTACACTAAAGCTAAAGCTACAGGCAGTTATGAATATATATAAAATATATATCGCGACACACCCCCTTAACTGTCTGCAGCACATAGCTAGAGTGAGTCACACCCCCTGAAGGGGAATAGCACGCGCAACAGAAGACGGCAGAGGGGTAAGTGAGGAGGAGGAGGCGAGAGAGAGAGAGGAGAGGAGAGGAGATAAGAACGGAGGAGGAGGTGAGTGTGGGATGAGGAGAGGAGGTGGGGGGGTGGCCGCGGCGTCCCCTCTTACTAACCCCCTTTTACGAAGGGGGGGGTTGAGTGGGGGATGAGGAGAGGAGGTGGGGGGGTGGCTGCGGCGTCCCCTCTTACTAACCCCCACATCCCCACCCCAAACAACCACCCCCCTTTAACCTCACCCCCCATTTCAGCCGCCCCCTGGAACCGCACTCCTTCCCCCCTTTCTCCCTCCAGACCCCTGCCCACCCACAGTAGTCCCTGCACAGACCGTCACACGGCAGCCAGTCCCCTCTCCCCCACCCTCTGCCCTGCCTCTCCCCTCCCGCAGCAGCTGCTGTGGGGGGGAGGAGGCGGGGACGAGGGTGGGGCTGTATTGGTTCACGGCGGCCACCCCTTCCACGCCAACCCCCCCTTCACAGCCGAAGTCGCGGACGGGAAGGCAACGGGGAAGGGCAGGGCTGGCGGTGGTGCTGGCGGATGGCGCTGGTGGCGGCGCTGGCGGTAGTGCTGGCGGCTGGCGCGGGTGCTGGGGCCTGGTGCTGGCGTGACGGCGCTGGTGCTGGGGCCTGCTGCTGGCGTGACGGCGCTGGTGCTGGTGCCTGGTGCTGGCCTGACGTCGCTGGTGACTGGCGTCGGTGCTGGTGCTGGCCGCTGGCGGGTCCGATGGCAGGTGTGGTGCGCTGGGGGGGACGGGGGACTGGAACGGGCGGGGTAGTGGGGTCCACTGGTGGTGCCACGGGGTTGGATGGGGTTCAAGGGGCGGGTAGGGAGCGATCTGGCGCTTCTAGCGGTGTAGAAGCAACTTCTCCCGCCACTCCCTTCACAGCAGCTGCGAAGTCGACGGGAGGGCGGGCGGGGAAGAGGTGTGACTGGCGGATGCTGGCGCTGGCGGCCGCCACTCCGTTCCCCCTTTCCTCTTCGCCCCCACTGCGCCCGTCGCTGTTTCTGCGCCACGGAGCCGCGACGAGGCAGCGTGACGGCGGCGGGTCCATTGGCGGGCTCGCTCGCGAGCCCGTTGGCGGGTTCGTCGGCGGGCATGCTCACACGCGCGCTGGCGGGTCTGTCGGTGGGCTTGCTGGCGCTCTCGTTGGCGGGTCCGACGGCGGGTCCGTCGGCGGGTTTGCTGGTGGGTCCGTCGGCGTGCTTGCTGGCGGGTCTGATCCTGGCGTTCCTGGTGCGTTCCTGGCGTGCGTGGTGGCGTGCGTTGCTGGTAGTGCGCGGGCGACGAGCTGAAAACGGGAAAGCGCTCACGAGGCGCACTAAGGGGCGCGCCATTGCGAGCGCTAATGGTGGGCCCATCTGAAAACGGTCCTAATCGGACCTAGCTCTATACCATGTCAAAATACAATCTTAGCTTAGGAACGGGTTTAAGGAGGGCCTAGGCTTAGTAGCCTAGGCCAAGCAAGGGTGGAGGTCAAGGCCAAGGGAGTGTCGAGAGAAATTGACCAAACAAGTTAGCTTCACTAAAAGCAAAGCATACAAGATATAGTCGAGAGACACAAACAAGAGGTGCACCACCAACAGCAAGGACACATAACTACACTAAAGCTAAAGCTACAGGCAGTTATGAATATATATAAAATATATATCGCGACAGCGCTCAGCAACCCCATTCTGCTGAGGAGAGGCCGGAAGCGTGAACGTCTGGCGAATGCCCTCGTCCTGACAAAAGGTCTCCAAGAGACCGGAGGAAAACTCACCACCTCTGTCAGAGTGCAGTCGCAGGACGGGAAGGTCCGTGCGAAAGCGCTTCTCCAGCTGGAGACGGGTAGCGTGGATCCAAGGGATCAAAACAGCAGAGACCTCTTCCTTGGTGCACAAGGGGAAGACCGTGGTGTAACGCGTGTAGTCGTCAACTACCAGCAGGAAGTAGCGCTCTCCTCCCTGTCCACGGACGCGGGCCGGGCCCCACACGTCCATGTGAAGGGTCTGCAGAGGGGCCTCCGTCGGGGGAAACTCAGAGGAGTGAGGGGTGGCACGTTGCCGTCCCTCGACACAGGGAAGGCAGGGAGGGACAGGGGACGGTGGCAGTGGAGGCAGTGACCTGGGGAGACCAGAGACAAGGTAACGGGAGTGCATGCCACGTAGGCGCTGCATCGAAGGGTGCCCAAGGCGGTGGTGCCAGAGGACCGTCCGGTGGGACAAGGCGCGACACGAGCAGGGGGCGGACAACTGACCTGACGCAGACGCAGACGCCGCTACCTGAGGGGACGCAGTGGTCAGTGTGTACAAGTCCGACCCCGGCTGCCGAGTGAAGGTAGCCAGGTGACGACCCGTCTGGGCACACGTGCAGTGTGTCACACGCTCGTAGGCAGGGGTGAACTGGTGAACCCCCGCATCCTGGAGCGCGGAACCCGCCACCAAGTTCGTAGAGAACGAGGGGAGGTAAAGGCCCGACAGGGTGCCGGACGGGACAGCAGGACAAGGGAGGGCAGTGGTGGAGGTCGCAAGGACCGGACCCCCGGAGGGGTCTGCCAGGGAGACAGCAACCGGCCTAGGGAGCTGCTCGAGGACAGTGCGGTCGCGAAAGAAACATCGGGAGGCACCCGAGTCCAGTGTGAAGGTGTGCAGTGCCTCAGTAGACGCAGTACCTGAAGGCGCAGACTCACAAGCACCTGAAGCAGCAGACACACCTGCACCTAGAGCAGCAGCCTCACCAGGACCTGGGGCAGCAGACACACTAGCACCTAGAGCAGCAGCCTCACTGGACGCAATGCCTGGGTCTGGTGGCACACACAAGTAACAGTCACCCTCAACACTAATAGTCAATGCATACATGGCTCCAAGGATAACATCATAATCAAGTGCAAAGACATCAATGTTCTTTTTAAGCAGATCAGCCCAGCGGGGCAGCTCAGAGGCCTCAGGGAACTGTGCACGCCAGGCATCGTCAAGACGGAAGAAGCAGCGCTGTGGCGCGTGGAACCGCCCACACGTCTGACCAGCTCGGTCACCTGTGCGGATGACATACGTGCAGGTACCCCCGCCCCCAGACCCCCCATGCTGAGAGTACCACTCACGAAGCTGCTGGGGCGACGGGGTCTCTCCAAGACGCTGCTGCTGGCGCTGGACACCACCTGAACCTCCACGCTGCGCCGGTCCACCCCGACCACCACCCGAGCCGCCGCCCCCACGCCCACTGCCTCCACCACCACCACCTCCACCCCGGCCTCCTCCACCACCACTGCCGCCACCACCCCCGCCGCCACCACCCCCGCCGCTGCCACCCACCCCCCCAGCCCCGCCACCATCCCCACCACCGCCACCACCCCCACCACCCCCACCGCCGCCACCTCCACCTCCCCCGCCGGCACCACCACTACCCTTGCCCCCCTTGCCCTTGCCGCTCTTGCGCCTCCAACTGGGAGCAGACGCATCCCCGACTTCCTCAGCACCAAGGTAGTCGACAGCGGCAGCAGAGGCGACCGAGGGGAGAAGGGGGGGAGGTGCACACCCGTCAAAGAAGGGCGTGCAGGGGTCGCCTCGAGAGGCACCTACAGCATTGATATTGGACTCATCTGCAAGCAGATGCTTCTCGAGGAGGTCAATGGTGAGCTCGGTGGGACAGAGGGCGAGGAGGGTGTCCCTGACAGCGCGAAGAGAGTCAGGAAGACGGGTGACTAGGTGGTAGAGAACTAGGTACAGCGGGGGGGGGTTCTTGGCGAGGAACTCGGCAGGAAGGGCGGCGCGGTAGCGAGTGTCACTAGTGCGGAGGTGTGTAATGAGGTCTGCGACTGTGGGGAAGGCGGCAAGATCGGGGAAGAGATAGGGCAGTGAGAGACGGCCTATCGTAGCAGAGGCAGGCGAGGAGTAGCGGGCGACAACTGCATCGTACAGGGCCTTAGCTGTCTTGAGCTGTCCAAAGTGTGCGCGCTCATCTAACGGCAGGTGACTGCGAATGGCTAGGCGAGCGTGGGCGTCACGAGTCTGCCACTGGGAGCGAGCTGTACTGTCAGCAGTGTCAGCAGGTGCTAGAGCGGTACCGGACGCGTGGTCATACAGTGAGATATCATCCTTAGCGGTGATCTGAAGGAAGAGGTGGAGATCGTCGAGCCAGGCTTCAAACTGGAGGGGACGGCCCTCAACATCGAACGAGAGAACTGTGGGTGTGGCCATAGTGGCAGTAGCAGTAGTAGCAGTAAGGGCAGTAGCAGTAGCAGCTGTAGTGAGAAGAACAGCTGGAACAGTAGGAACAGGAACAGAAGGTGCAGTAGGTGGGGCAGCGCGGCTCGGTCAGGGCGGCGCGGCTCGGGTGGCGCGGCTCGGGCGGCGCGGCTCGGGCGGCGCGGTTCGGGCACGAAGGGCAGCGCGACGGCGGGCCTAGCACGGTGAGCGGCGGCGCCTATCACGCAGCTGCGCACAGGCCGCGGCTGGGTGGGTGCTGCAGCAAAACGCGAGCTGCAGCAGCCTATGCGCATTCGTCACTGCTGGCGGGCTGCGACCTGCGGGCGGGCGGCGGTGGTTCGTGCGCCGTCCTAGGGGCGAGCGGGCAGGCTCAGGCTGGAGTCGCGCACGGGCGGCAGCCTACGAAAGCAGGGGCGGCGGCCTACGGGGGGGGGACGCGACTGCCTACGGGCGGGGCTGCGTCGCGCTGGAAAGCCAGCCTAGCGGGTCGACGGGCGGCTAACGGCCTGTTCGTGGGCAGAGCTAGCCGCGCGGGCGGCCTACAGTCGTCGCGCGCGCGATTCGGGCCGCGCGCGGGCTACTAGCGAGCGAAAAACTAGGCCGCGCGCGGGCAAAAAGGGGGCCGCGCGCGGTCGTCTAGTAGGCTACGCGACCAGGGAAAAAGCGAGGCGCGCGAGGGCGCACTAACAGCGAGGCGCACGAGGGCGCTAAATGAAGGAGGCGCTCGAGGGCGCTAGCGGAAGGGCGGGCCCTTAGTCTTAAGTGGTCCTAGGTTCTAACCTAGGCTTCTGATGCCATGTTAGAATGAGAAGAGTGGTTGCACTATCGAGAAAGTTGGGTACAAGTAACAAAAAACTATACCCTACATTAGCTACCCCACTAAAGCCTACATTTTACTATGACATAGGCATATAATTTGACACCCGCCAGCCTCGTGGCGTGCCTGAACACCAGCCTCTCTCGCCTGCAGGGTATCTTATACGCCTGCTTCGACCACAGGGTCGACCATAGCGACCAAGACGGATGCCGGCCTAACAACAACTTAGGTAATGAACGCAGAAGTCGGCTATCTAAACGTTCTAACGCGGGGCCGTCCACGCTCACCGCACCATGCGGAGAATACTATTCTACGGGAGAGCTTGACTAGCGTCGGACACACGGTCAGACTTCTGGCAGTGATTCTCAGAAATGAACTTGGTTGCCTTGGTAGAATTCAAGCATAGTTCCACTAGCAAAAGTTGATAGAACAAGATTATGGTACAGGCAAGGAGAACCAAATAGCAAAGACAATGAACCCTGTAGAAACGTTCCTCGACAAGCACTGAAATCTGTCGAGTCAGCAACGGCAGGTGAAACGACAAACACATGCATATTTCACCGGAGTTGGTAGTTGCTCAGGTTTACAACCTTCATAGTTGTGCACGTTTTTACTGTTAGTAAAAACGTGTTTCAGGTTCAGTTTCCTTACTGAATCAAATTCTCCTGGGGAGTACAATTTCCGAAATTACCTGATTGGTCGAAATTTGCTGTTCCGTGATTGGGCGAAATTCGCGCACATTGCGAATTTTGGAGGAAAGTAATTCCGGTCAACCAGAATCGATCTGCTCGACGAAACACTCGTCGAACTAAATTCTGTCAACCAGCAATCCGTCGAAACACCAATTCTGCCAATTCCGTCTATCAGAAAGGCTCGTCTTTGACGCCGTTTTACTCCCGTCAACGAGCTCCTTCTAGACGAGGACTTTGATCGAGCAGAGGAAACACTTCTACCTCGATCAATCAATCTCGCCGACAAACGACTCGTCGCACACAGATAAAAGTCCCCGAAATCGCCGATGACCACGAAACGAACACCGTCTTGTTCCGAAATGCATGGTCGACTTCGCCCAAGCGAGGGTGGGGCTTTTTCTCTTCGACAGGAGTCTCTCTCTCCACTGCACCTGCGCGAGTGGTTTGCTCGGCGCTGGAGCCTCCGGAGTGGTGCTGCTGGAGCTGGAGCTGCTGGAGGTGCTGGAGCCGCTAGTTCCGGAGGTGCTCGTACTAGAGGTACTGGAGCTACTGGATCTGGAGGTGCTGCTGGAGCTGGAGCTGCTGGAGGTGCTGGAGGT